CGTCGAAGTCGATCACCGCCTTGAGTTTCCGCAGGGCCTCCACACTGAGGAGCAACGGTCCGCTGCCGCGGTCCAGGCAATGGACTTTGAGCTCTCCGGCACGATCATTGGCCTGAATCTGCAACTGAATAGTCGAGGCGCAGCGGTTCTCCGACCCATTCCCAAATCCGAAGGTCGGTCGCTTCTGGAGACTCAATCCCAGGATGCCGTTATTGCCTTTCTTCTGCGCATTGATGGCCATGATGTGCTCCATGGCGGCGACAGAGGCCAAAGTCCTGGTGGCGCCCCCGTCTATCACTGCCTTGCCCTGGCGCACAGCGTCAGCCGTGGAAATTCCAGCAGCGAGAGCTTGCTGAATCTCGTTGAAGCAGATGAAGGACGAGGTCGCATCCGTCTCGGTTGCCACCTTGGCTTGAGCCGCTGGCTCGGGGCAGTTGGCTACACGGTGACCAACCTTGCCACATCGAAGACAAGTCAATCTCGAATCATCGCTACCCTTGCCTGATTCACGATTGCCCTTGCCCTTCCCCTTGTAGTACTGCCTGGCCAGTCGAACATTGCTCTGCTTCAGTCGGGCCTGCTTCAAGGTGTTCCTTGCCAACTGCAAAGTGGCCATGGCTTCCTGCGCTTCATTCTCCGCCTCACCCCACAAGGCCTGCTCATCGTCGTCAAGGTCCTCGGTGAGGGCGTTGCCGTCGTCCGCCTCGAGGTCCGAGTTCTCCTCGAGGATGTCGCCAAGGAACATATTTATAGGCGGTGCTGCTGCTGAAGTCCTTCTTCCCATAGTCCAGCACGGCACACTGGCTGCGCAGCTCCTGGACCACGCGTGCCATGGAGAAATCTCCCTGCAGCGCGGTTTGAACCACATTTCGTTCATGACTGCTAAGCCCTGAGTCATGAAGCAAGTACCATCCTTGAACAAAATCAGGTAGGAGTTCGGGAAGAGTCGATGTCGCATCCGCCTCTCGCTGAGAGCGTCCACTTCTGGAGTAGTCGTAATCCTGGTACGACCACTGCCATGATGAGCCCCACCAGGAACTGGACCATCGGCGGTTCCACTGGGCCCAGTCTCCATCGCTCCAGCCTCCACCATCGGAGCCCAGTGGCCGGATCACCTGCCGCCTCGGTGGCATTCTCGCTGGCGTAGCTGGAGGTGCTATTCCTCCGGCTAGGTGTCCAGTTGCTGCCCCACGAAGGTGGTGCCGCGGCTGCCGTCCACGAGCCCGAAGAGGGTTGGGATGTCTGATGAGGAGACACCCGCTGCAGAGCTTGGCAGGCTCGTAGATAAATCTCGTTCTTCCTCGAGATGTAGTCATTGATACCTTCGCCAGACCGCCTTCGCGAGCCCTTGAAGAACTTACTGAGTTGCTCCGTCAGCTCAGCAATCTGTGGCTTTCCCAAACACTGCCTCAGGTGCGCCATGAGGCGCTTCACTCCGTCGTTGTCAGACAGCCAGTCGGGGGATCGGCCCGAGACCAACCTCCGGGCAGCTC